TAACTTTTGCTACAAATCTAACATTCTTGCCCATCGTTGCTCTGGCACTATCTGTACAGACTCCAACACAATTTTTCTACTGTAAACCTTCATTTGTGAAAAATTCATTGACTTTAAGATACATATCTTCCCCTCTTATGTGCCCTTCCAAAGGGCAACATAACAATAATTCCTCATGTATGCTTCCTTCATAAACATATTTTACATAAAGTAATATCTGCCATGTTAGAAATAACAGTTGTTCTATCTAATTGAATTGCAATTTTGGGGCTGCCCTTAAGCCTGGTAATAAGAACTGGAATTGGTCATTACTAATTTCAGAAATTCTTTTGGAAACACTATCATTTGATAAAGGAATTTCAGGAATTTCATCCCCATGCTTTTTCCCATGAACTATTTCTGACATTTTAATAGCAGCAGGTGACATGAGATCTTCTCCTATAGCGTAGGGTTTTTAGTTTTTGCAATTAAATAAGAAGTTTCATAAGGTGCAAGTAAATACTTTTCATTGACAGTAACAAATTTCTCAAAATATTGTTTTTCTTTATTTGAAGATTTTAAAAGTCATTCAAAATATTCTTTTGGTTTATTGCAGTACACTGCATGCTTTAAGGCATTAAGATGTCATTTTAGTTTGGCTGGTTTCATGCTCTCTGAAGCCAAAACTTCATTACAAAGTAAGCAAAGAGGTTTTTCCACACCATCATCATTATTAGAAGTAAATCCATATTGCAAAAATGATTTGAAATATTTTCTTTTTCATGTCAATTTAGGTATACTACAACCTGTTAGCAAAGGCTCTGCCTCATTGTCATTAGTATTTTTACTGCTTCTGTCTAAATTTAGCCACTTATCCATAACCAAAAATATATATATATTTTTGTCTTAAAATATAAATAAATATTGCTAATAGTTTCTCAAATAAATACTAGCTTTAGTTGATGAAATTACATTTGTTTGTGCTTAATTTTTAAAAATTGATGTTCACACTTACGTACATATACAGAGGTGATGGTAGAGAAATATTATGAAAGGGCTTCTGTCTTTACTTGCTGCAATTAAACACTTATGTTTCTGTAAAAGAAGGAGATAATAGTAATTTTAAAAATCAAACATTCTAACACAATACAATCCAAAGATATACTAATTTGATACTTACATGCTGAGGAATGGTGGTAGGAAAATATTAAAAGTCTTTATTTTCAATAATTAAAGTATTATGTTTGTATAAGAGCAGAAAACTGTATGTATAGTAAAAACACTGCTATTCAAAATATACAGTAGTCTAGAATCTGGACTGAGATCTTTCTGGCAGCATTTGAGGGCACTGCATGATATGACAGTAACGCAAAGGGCACGTGCTATATGTTCAGAACCAAGGCTGCAGTGAAATCACTCTATGGAACACAGGCAAGTGCTGCCAGAAACACCTCAGACTCATTACACATTTGATTTTGAATTAATTTTTGGTCAGTGCACATTCAGAAACCTTTTACTGTTGCCAAATTTTCTATCCCATATGGAGTTGTGACCCACAGTTTAAGAAGCACTGTAGGTACAAAAGTGGGAATAATTGTAGAAAGTACACCAGACAATGAGACCAGACTGAGACACAAGTTGATCAGTACTGGCAAATGGAGCTGGATAAGCAAAGTAGGATGAGATTGCAGAAAGCCTTGAGAACCAGGCTGAGGACTAGTAGAAGCCACTAAATATGAGTTTTTAAGTAGGAGATTAATATGATAAAAATGGTATTTTTGGAAGATTAATCTGGTATCAGTATGCAGGATAGACTAAGGCCTAGATGTAAAGAATCTACTTAGCAGACTATTGCAATAAACCAGAGATGTGATGAAATACTAGATTATGGTGATGGCAGTGGAAATGGGAAGGAACTAATGGATATAAGACAAAGGTTCTTAACCTGTGATCTAGGAACCCCCAGGAATCCCTGGATAGATTTCAGGTGGTGGGTAAACTTGGATGGGAGAAAAATTTCATCTTCATTTTTAGTAACCTCAAACTGAAATTTAAGCATTTCTCTCAATAATTTAAAGACATCATTCTGAGACATGGCTGTCCATGGCAGTGAATATACTTCCAAAGGGGTCAATCAGAGAGAGAGAGATTAAGAACCCTTAATGGAAGAAAAGTTTACAGAAAGGGATGAGGATGACTAATTGGACATGGGTGATGAAGGAGAGAAATATTCTTTCCCTACCCCCCCCCAGTTCAGTTGATGTCAATAAATCAATAAACATTTATTGAGCACCTACTATGTGCCAGGCACTGTCCTAAGCATTGGGGTTACAAATAAAGGGAAAAGACAACCTCTGCCCTCAAGGAGCTCACAGTCTGATGGGAGAGATAGTAAACAAACAAATATACACAAAATATACACAGTACAGGATAAATAAGACATAATTCAGAGAAGGAAGGCATTAGAATTAAGAGAGGTTGGGAAAAACTTCCTGTAGAAAATGGGATGGAACTTAAAGGAAGCCAGGAGATCTGTAGCTGGAATGATAGAGGGAAACCATTCAAGCCATAGTGGGGAGTCAGAGAAAATACTCAGGGTTGAGGGACTGAGTGTCTTGTTTGTGGAAGAGCATGGAGGCTAGTATGACTGGACCAAAGAAGACCACATGTCTGGAAGTGAAGACTAGAAAGTCAGGAGGGTGCTAACATAACTGCTTTGAATGCCTAACAGAGGATTTTGTATTTGATCCTAAAGGAGATAGGGAGCCACTGGAATTTACTGAGTAGGGAGGTGACATAGTCAGACCTGCACTTTAGGAAAATCAGGTGGCTGAATGAAGGGTGGAGTACAGTGAGGAGAGACTTGAGGTAAGTAGACCCACCGGCAGGCTATGGCAACAGTCAAGGCGTGAAGTGATGAGGGCCCACACCAGAACTGTGTCAGTGTCAGAGGAGAAAAGGGGGCATATTCAAAAGATATTTTGAAGGTGAAATGGACAGCTCCTGCTTGGCAGCATTTGGATGGTGGCGGCAGGATGTACTGTAGTTTGAGATACTGAGGAGTTCATGATGACTTCTAGGTTGCAAGCCTGAGGGACCAGGAGGATGGTATTTTCCTCAATAATATCAGGGAAGGTAGGATCATAGAAGAGGAGTGTTTAGAAGGGAAGGTAATGAGTTCAGTTTTGGACATGTTTGGTCTAAGGTGTCAATTAGATATCTAGTTTGAGATATCTGAAAGGCAGTTGGAGATCAGAGATTGGAGGTCAGCAAAGAAGTTGGGGCAAGATAGGTAGATTTGAGATGGTATAGCATTACTAGCAAGAGATGGCAATTAAATCCAAGGGGAATGATAAAATTGCCAAATGAAGGAGTATAGAACAAGGCTTCTTAAACTTTTTTCCACTGGAGACCCCTTTAGCACTTTTTAAACTGTGGGTTTCAACACCATGGTCATAACCCACAGTTTAAGAGACACTGGAGGGAGAAAAGAAAAGGGCCCAGGACAAAGCCATGTGTGGCACCTGGGGTTAGTGGGAGTGACCTGGATGAGAATCCAGAAAAGTAGGCTGAGAACGAATGGCCAGACAACCAGAAGAGAGAAGTGTCACAAAAACCTAGAGAAGAGTGTATCAGGAAGAGGGTGATTGATAATGCCAATGGTTGCAGAGGGGTCTAGAAGAAGGAGGATTGAGAAGAGGCCGATGGATTTGGCAACTAAGAGAGTATTAGTAACTTTGGAGAGAGCAGTTTTAGTGGGATGATAAGGTCAGAAAACAGATTGTAAGGGGTTAAGAAGAGAATGAATAGAGAGAAAGAGGAGGCACCCATTGTAGACCACCTTCAAGAAGTTTAGCTACAAAGGACAAATGAGGATATAGGATAAGATTTAGCAGGGATGGAAGAATCAAATGAAAGTGTTTTTGTTTTTTCCAGAATGGGGGACACACAGAGCATGTTTGTAAACAGTATGGTCATAGGTAAGGCGGCAGAAGGGGGAACCCAGTTTGTCTGGGTGGACAGATGACAGACTGGGGGGTCGAGAGGGGAGCTTTAAATACTTAAAGCCCTGGAGACAGCCAACAGTTCGAGTCAGCACTTCTGGGGAGTGAAAGAAAGAGCTTGCAATCAGAAGTGACCTGACTCTTCACCTCTTGGTGGTGAGAAAGATGAAATTTTCTCTTCTCATCACAAATTCTGTAGACTATGCCACCTAGCAACAGAGCTTTCTTAAAAGAAGAATATGGCCATGAAAAAAGAGGCAACTAGGTAGTGCAGTGGATAGTGCCCGACTTGAGATCAGAAAGACCCGAATTAAAATCCAAACTCAGACACTAGCTGTGTGACCCTGGTGAGCCACTTAACCTGGTTTGCCTCAGTTTCCTCATCTGTAAAATGAACTAGCTGGAGAAGGAAATGACAAACCGCTCCAGTATCTTTGCTAAAGAAAACCTCCTAAAAATGGGCCCACCAAGAGTCGCACACAACTGAAAAGCTCTGGACTAAGATCTCATTTTCAATCTACCCTGTATTTGCTGTGTGACCTTTGAGAAGATCATTTCCTTTTTCCGAGCCTCGCTCTCATTGGACTAGATGATTTCTGAGGATTCTAAGTCCTAAGAGGTGCTAGAGGAGCAATGGGAAAAGAGAAAGTAGTGTGTTGTCTTTAAACAGGATAGGATTTGACTCCTATTTCATTGAGACTCCCAGGTGAGGAAATTCCTTCTACTAATGCAAGTTAATATCTTCTCTGCAATCTGTGAGCTTTGAAAGTGTCTAGGGCCAGTCAGAATGTCCTAGATGGGACTTGAACCTAGAGTTTCCTGCCTTCGAGGCCAGCTCTCAGCTTCAGACTTCTTTTAAAGCAACTATCTGTATTGTCAGTTACCTTCAAGGTAAGTTTATTCAAGTGCGCTGGGATCTTCCATAAAAGTAGTTTACCCAACCAGAGTACTAGAGGAGGTGTGGCAGGTAAAAGGGCGGGCAGAAAGTAAGGGAGCAGCAAACCCCGCCCCGCCGGCCCCAGCCGAAAGCAGGAAGCGGGGAGCAGTGGAGCTGAGTCCGGCTGTCATTGCGGGGAAAGCCCCTCCCCACCTTGGTCCTGAGCCGCCAGGCCCCTGGCCACGGCTGCCTGGCGACCCGGGAGGATGGCGATTCTACTCCCGGGGCTGCCCGGACTCTCGCGGCAGCTTCGGCTCCTGCTGCAGCTCTTGGTTGTGCTGTCCCCGGCCGGCTCGGCCCTGCGGCTCCTCGACACCCCGGAGCCAGTCTGCTCGCAGCCGGTGAGTCCGTGCCCCCAGCGCAGATGGCGAGGTGGGAGGGCGAGGATGGACAGACAGCCTGAGCTAGGGCAGCTGAGGGGGAGAGTCTGGGCTGGGTAGAGAGAAGCGGCACCAGGGGCCCGGGGAAAGGACGGTTTGGGGAAGGGAGTTTTGTGGCAGAGACAGAGCACGAAGAGGAAGAAAACTCCCTACCGAGTCAACTGCCGGGACCAGAGGGAGTCTGGAAAGCGATCCTTCCGTGGAGTTGCACAATCCTCGGCTTTAGAACTCAAAGAAGTCTTTCAGACGGATCATCAAGGGTTCTTAACCCGAGGTCTGCGAAGGGGTCTGAGGATAGATTTAGGGAGGACTCGGATGGGGGGGAGGGGGAAATTACATCTTTTTAAAAATATAAGTAGTTTCCTTTGTAAACCTGTGTATTTTATTTTATACTTTTAAAAGCATCACTCTGTTAATAGAGTCAGCTGGGTAGCAAAGTGGATAAGAAAAGCTCAGCTTGGAGTCTGGAAGACCCGAGTTCAAGGAAACATTTTCTAACTTACTAGACCTTTTCGGTGGGCCCTGAATTTTGACCTAACAAGTTGTGTAACCTTGGGTAAGCCGCTTAACCTCTTTCAGTCTGTTTTCTGATCTGTAAAGGGGGAATAATAATTTTACAGATGAAGCAATTGAGGCCCAGAGAGAGAGTGTGTGACTAGCCTGCCTTAGCAAAATTTACAGTCTAGTTGCTAAAATTATTGAAGTGCAACAAAGGGCCATTCCAACAGATATGCAGTTACAGTTTCACAGTATGGTGGATAAATAGAGCTCATTAATTCAACAGACATTTATTAAGCTCCTAATATGTGCAAGGTATCTTTGGGAGCAAGGGGCTGCAGGGGAGTGCGAAGCCAAGTGCCAAGATAAGTGTAAAAAGTGGAGATTTTGTGAACTGACTGACAAATTGCATAACTGGGCAGGCAAAACTGTCTTTAAATTCCAGGGTCTTCCAAGGTCCATTTGGAAAGTAGAATTCTGATTCCTTATACATCAAACCCAGAAATAGATGACCATTCTCTTGCCTGTGGTTGGCTCCTTGTGACCTTGGATCTTTAAGGGAAAAGGGGGGGAGGGGGATTATTGCCAAGGGCCAGCATCAGCTCAAATATCACTGAGGCACCTTTAGCTCGCTGAGGTGTGACTAAGAAGTGATGGCCCAGCCGTGGTTTTTAAAATCATTTTTGAGAGCTCTCCTGGCCACTGGATATCTCCAGCCCACAGGTGGATCCCCTTCCTGCCCCTAGTCAGCACCCTGTGGTATTAACATGGGGTGATTGTTATGTGTGGAGCCTGCAGGAAGTGTGACACACCTAAGTGTCAGTTAGTGGTCTGTACTTTGGAGAGTGTTCTTTTTTTAAAAAATAACATTGTTCAGCCTACTGCACCACATACGTAATGAAGAATATCTCACAATTAGAGATGGGAGGGACTTTAGATATAATTTAGTCAATCCCCTTGTTTTATATATAGGTACAGAAAACTGAAGCCCAGAGATAAAATCACAGTAAATGACAGAACTAGAACTGAAACTCAGGTCTTCTGATGCCAAGTCCAATACTCTTTTCATTATTCTGTTTGGTGTCTGAGTCAGAAGATAGGAATTAGAATAATAGGAATTCTTGTTATCTGAGCTGGTAAATGATTTGCCAGCTGAGAAGCAAAAGGCATTGGTTATTTGGGAAAAGTTTGGGTGTTTCAAAGAAAAAATATGAAGGATTTGAAAAGATGCTTTTATAGGAAATATTTTCTAATTTAGTGGACCTTCTTGGTGGGTTCTAAGGTTTCCTTATGAAATCTACAGACTCAGCATTCATTTAACAAACATTCATTAAATACCTATAATGCACAAACCACTGAATATAATGTGTGCTGTACAAGGTGTTGTGTACGAAGCTGTTGATAGAGAACCTTATAATCTAATAAGGGAGATGATGCACAGAGGAATATCAAGAGAGAAAGATATGTAAGGATCAGATCAGAAAGAATCTTAAACGGCGGGCTAACGAGTCTAGACTCTGTTGAGTAGACAGTAGGGAATAAGCAATTTTTGAACAGGGGAGTAACAATGGTGAGAATGGACCGAAAGAAGTACTCATTAGTCAAACTTTTAAGCTCTTCTGGACCCATTTCCCTGGGATACTTGTCAGGGAAAAGAAAAGGGTGAAGTCTGTCACCTATCTCACACTCCTCTGTGACTAGATAATACACGTGTAATTATCCCCCTTTCAAGGTCAAAGTGGTTAGACGCAGCTTGGTTAAGTGATATACCTAAAGACACACAGCCTAATAGTGCTAAAGCCAGGATACAAACTCAGCACTCCTAATTCCAGGTCCAGTGCTTCCTAAGTTTACATTATCTGGCTTGGAAATGTTTTCTAGTGGTGGTGATGGTTTTGTATGGAACCATTCACATTCTCAAATCCAGCCCATTACAGATTACTATGTTCAAGACAAAGTAGTTTGTAGCCATGGAAGAAAATAGAGTTGGAGGTGTCATTCTCTGTGTTTTAAGGATAAATCTCATCTGGCGATCAAACCCACATCCTTGGCTCTGCCAACGCCATGCTCTGACTAGGCTAACCATTAACCATTCATTAATGTAAACTGTGCAATATAAAACAATAGCCAACAAATAAAGGCAAATAAAACAAGATTTTTTTTCCCTCTCCTCTCCTTTAAATCCCTTCCACCACAAGTTTTAAAAAATGCCTTGCCATTTGTTGATATGACTTCTTTTAATGTTGCCCTTCTCTGAGGTAGGGTGATATGTGGTTTTTCTGATGCTGCTATTCTTAAAGAAAAGTGAGTTTGAGGCAGACGACCCAACTCTTTCATCACTATTCACTTACTTATTCAATGAATGTTTATCAAGCATCTACTATGTACAGAGCATTATATTAGATGCTGAGGAAGTGTAACAAAATTATACCATCGTTGATATACAGTATTAAACACAGAGGTGGGAAAACAAGGGTTGAAATCAAGGAACAGCAAGTAGTTCTGTTTGGCAGGAATAATATAAGACAAGGAAAGGCAGATTAAATTGGAGGCAGATTATAGAGAGGCAATTTGGTTAGAGGGGAGAATGTGTATGGGACCACAGAGAGATTAGGCTGAAAAGTAGGTAGGCAGTTTTGATCCTAGAGAACAGATGATGAAATACACCTCCCTCTTATCTGTGGAGAAGTGAGGGAATGCAGATATAGAATATTTCCTACACTGTCAGGCTGTTGCTGTGTCCATTGATTTTGTTTATCTAAGTCTTCTTAATTTGAAGAGTGGGTTTAATGTGGAAAGGGGGTAAATAGAGAAATTATTGTTGTGTAAATGCAACATAAACTTACAAAACTTAAAAGAGAGAAAAAAATAAAAGAATATATAATCCAGATTGTGAAAGGCCTGGAATGCCGGGGCAAGGAATTTGGTATTTATTCCTGTCCTGAGAGACACATCTTCCTAGTCCTCTGTAGCAACTGCTACTGTTGGCCACTCTCCTGGTTCCTATTTCCTCTCCGGGTTTTCTGAGTATTGATGTCTCCTGGTTCTCTGATTTACTGATTCATCATTTGAGTCACACTCACTACTTGTGGGATGTCCCTCAAGGCTCTGTCCTTGGGCCCTCTTCTCTCCATCCTCTTTCACTCAGTGACTTCTTCGGCTTCCTTGTGTGCAGTTCCTGTCTTTATGCAGATAGCTTTGAGATCAGTATTCCCAGATCTGTATATCTAAGTCTCTCTCCTAAGCTCCAGTCCCGCATCACTAACTGCCTATTAGGCATGTCCATCTGGATGTCCTGTAGGCATCTCAAATTCAACATGTCCAAAACAAAATTCAGTATCTTTCTCTCAAAACCCATTCATTTTCCAAGCTTCTCTATTGCTATTAAGAGCACGACTGTCCTTCTAGACACCCAGGTTCACAACCTTGTGGTCAGCCTCAGATCCTCATTCCCATGTCATGTTTCCTAGCACTTGCCAGATCTAGTTGTTTATATCTCCACAGCATCTCTCAAATCCTTCACCTCCTCTCCATTCAGGCTGTTCCACGCCAGGTAAACCCTCTTGGCCAGACTACTGCAATAGCTTCCTCACTGGTCTCCCTGCCTCAAGTGTCCTCTCTTTAGCATCTTCCACACAGTGGCCAAAGTAACTTCCCTAACATGCAGGGATCATGTCACACTGCTTAACAAACTCCAGTGGTTCCCCAGTGCCAGTAGGTTCAAATACAACTTCCTTTGTTTGGCATTTAAAGCTTCTCAGAATCTGGTTGCTTCCTCTCTTTCCAGTCCTCACACTCTGCAATCTAGATATACTGACTTACTCACTGCTCCACATAAAGGACACTCCATCTCCAAAGGGTTTTGTGAGCTTAAATAAGGTAATTTGATGTAAAGCACTTTGAAAACCTTAAAGAGAGACATATCAGTTATTATTATTATTATTATTATTATTATATTATTATTATATTTTTATTATCATCATCATCCTGTCACCAGGCGTCCAGTCTGGTGATGACCTTTCTCTGAGCCTTCTAATGTACTCCTGCTGAGTTCAAGCAATGTTTATAGAGCAACCCAGGTAAGGTAAATGGTTTAACAACCACCCCTTCGGAGGAGGGGGAAAAAAATCTATGCACACACACTTTTAAATTAAATCTGCCTTATTAACACTTTCTTAAGTCTAAACAATAAAATAAAAATCAAGTCTTAATTTATAGCAAGTACTAATTTCTTTTTTTTTAATTTTTTTTTTTATTTTAGGCAATTGGGGTTAAGTGACTTGCCCAGGGTCACACAGCTAGTAAGTGTCAAGTGTTCAGTCTGAGGCCAGATTTGGACTCAGGTCCTCCTGACTTCAGGGCTGGTGCTGTGTCCACTGCACCACCTAGCTGCCCCTGCAAGTACTGATTTCTAAGATATAAATGCTTACACTGAAAATTTAACAGCTCAGAGCTGGCTCTAGCACACCTCTATATCTTATCTCCATGCCTTTACACTCACCGTTCCCTATCTCTGGAATACACTCCCTTTTCGTCCGGTTTCCTTCAAGATGTAGCTAAAGTAACAACGTCCATTTGAAGTCTTTTTAAAATTGATTTCATTCCCTCAGATTCCTGTCCCCTCTCTCCCATCTAGTATTTTGTATACAATATGCCATATATTTTTGTGTATACATGTTAACTCCTCCATAAAATGTGAGTTCTTAGAGGATAGGGACTGTTTCACTTTTTTCTTTGTATCTCTAGCACTTAGCAAAGTGGCTTAATAAATACTTGTTGCTTGATTGGTAACCACAACACCCTGAAATAGTGACCTGTCTCTGGCCATTTGTCTTGCTTCAGTTGCCATGTCTGTCCCCTCATTGTCTTAGACACTATGGAAAGAAGACTAGTAGGTAATGAACACCCTGAAAGCAGCCAGAGCTGAGAGAGAAATTACATTGAGGGAATCAAGGTGGGGGGAAATCTCAAAAGCACTACAAGTTTTTACCTATAATTAACTTCTTGTTTTTCCCACAGCGGCTAAACTGTACTGTCAAGAAAAGTAAGTCATCCTTTTCTTTTATTTCCTTTTGGTTTATTAATAAAATGATAATCACTTGCTGAGTTCTGGCAGCAGCACTATGGCTTTCAGGCTTACATATGGATTACAATTAATGCTAGAGAGTATCCTCAAGCTGGTACAGGTATGCCTTACTTTAAGAATGCCTCCTATGCCAGTATGAACTTCAAAAACAGATTACAATTATTATTAGCTTTAAAAAAAATTCACCAAGTCTCTTTTGAAGAGCCACTGCCCAAATGAATTAAAAAGATTCAATTTAAATTCATTTATTAAAATCAATTATTATATAAAGTATACCCTATGGTTTTGCTTGTTTTGTTTGGAACTAGGGAGAAAGAGCTTTTCTGGAAAGAGTTCAGGGATTTTGTACCACCAAAGCTCTTAAAGGAACTAATCTATGGTCTAATCTATTCACAGCTTCCCAATTGGTATGGCCAAACCACAGGCCTGACTCTGTCGCTCCCCTGCTAAAGAAGCTCTAGTAGCTCCAGGACCAAATAATAACCTTCTCTGTTTGGTATTTAAAACCCTTCCCTGACTCCAAACTACCTTTCCACCCTTATTGCATATTACATGTCAATTTCCAAGCTCCCAGAACTCTGTGGTCAGGCCAAACTGGTCTTCTTACTGTTCTTCCCATACAACATTCCAGCTTTCATCTTTCCCAACTCCATGCTTTTGCATGGGCAAAAGGAGGCACACTCCTCCACCACCACCCCCCTTAATCTCAGACCCTTAGGATGTGCTGGACTTGAAGTCAGAAAGGCCTGATTTTGAATCCTGCCTTAGACAGGTAAAGTTTGCAACCCCGAGTAAGTCATTTAACCACTCTCAGCTTCCAGTTTTCTCATCTGTAACATGGGGATAATAATAGCACCTGCCCCACAAGTTATTGTGAAGATCAATGAGATATCCTACCTATTATTAGAATCTCTAGCTTCCTTCTACACAACTACTCATGTCTCTCCCCACCCCCAAATTACCTTGTATTTATTTTAAATATACTTCTGTGTGCATGTGTTGTTTCTCCCTCAATAGAATGTAAGCATCTTGAGGCCAGGGACTGTTTCATTTTTGTATTTGAGGATTTACTACCTCACACACCTGTCCATTCCCCTTTTGGACAGTTCTGCTTGTTAGAAATACCCCACCTCATATTAAGCTAAGTTTTACCTCCCTATAATATTATCCATTGGTTCTTATTTTCTTCTCTGGAGGCAAATAGAATAAGTCAAGTCAATAACAAACATTTATTATGCTCTTACCATGTGCCAGGCACTGTGCTAAGTGTTGAGAACACAAACACAAGCAGAAAGAAAGACAGTCCCTGGCCTCGAGGAGCATACTTTCAAATGGGAGTAGACAGCACATAAAAGGAAGCTGAAAGCCTGAGGTAGGGAAGCCAGTTGGGAGGAGGAGATGAAGGTCTGTGGTTGTGGTGGGTCCAGGATGGTAGAAAAAGTCCAGAGAGCCAGGAGTGCAGCCTGGAGAGGAAAGAAGACATGGCTATCCTGGCCATCCTACCTAAAATGGAAATTTTGGGAGAAACCAGCCAACCAGAGGAAGAGGACCCAAAGGTAGAGGGTGCTTCCAATGTAACAGGTAGTGCAGGGATGGAGCCTTCATCATCATCATTATCATCATTTTTATGTAGCAGCACTTAAAGTTTACAGAGCACTTTCTATAAATTATTTCATTTGAACTTCACAAGAACGCCAGGACCGGCTGTGTTTAAGTGACAACATTTATGGTAAGTTCTCTCCTCCCCAGGACCATTAAGTATTTTAAAACAGTGATCACATGGCCTGGAGCTATCAGAAAAATCATCTCCCAAACCAATTAGATTTAGGATCACAGATTTAGAGCTAGAAGGAAATGTAGAGTTCAGTTAGTACAATCCCTGAAGTTTATAGTTAAGGAAACTGAGGTTTAGTGACTTCAGAGAAGTTAAGGTCACATAGGTAGTAAATGGCTGAGCCAGGATTTGGACCCCAATACTCTGACTCCCATTTTTGCTTACCCTGCCACAAGTTTCTATATTTCAGGCAATTTGGTCCTCCCTGCCCTCTTGCCAGGATACAAACAAAAGTTTTACTCTCGTTGCAGGTACCTGCCTGGCTAAGAGTTGGCTCTACCCTCTCAACAAGACACCCTCTAGCCCAAGAGATGTCAACATCACGCTGGGCTTTGAACAGGGAGAAAATGGATACCCAATTCCTGTGGTGCGCATTGAATGGAAAGTGCGGACAGATGGTAAATGAGCGGATGATAGTCAAAAACATTCCAAAGCCAAACATTTTCATTACTGAAATTAGAATTAGAATTTTGGCTTCTGGTTCTGGGTTCCAAATACTGAATCATAGGATTATAGAATTAGAGCCAAAAGGGACCTCAAAGGCCATCGGGCCTGACCCCATTGTTTTCTAAATGAAAACTAAGGTCCAGAAGCATTAGGGGAACTGCCCAAGGTCATACAGCTCGTTAATTTTCAAGCTAGGAGTGGAACCCAGATCCTCTGATTCTCAATCCAGCATTATTTTCATTAAGCATTTATCTACATCTTTGTTCATTAGTAACACCGATTTATAAGTAAGTTCTTCAAAGCACTACTACTATACGAGAAGCATTGTAACTAAGTGGATTCAAACCTGGCCAAGGCTTGGGTTCAAGATTCATCTCTGATGCATGCTGACTGTGCCCTGGGCAGGGCTTTTAATCTCTCAGTGCCCCTGAACAGCTCTCCAAGACATTGGTAGAAGTTTTCTTAGTGGAGTTCCCTATACCAATGAAATCACAGTTCTGGCCCCCTCCAAAACAGCTATCTCACACATTCCACAATCTCCCCATGGAAGTGACACTAACACATTGACGCTTTTCTGCTGAGCCAGCATGAAGTCTTGTTCAGCCTTGGCAAATGGTCAATGGTTATTTCACAAGAAGTCCCTGGCAAATAAATACCAAACATTCACCAACTACAAGTAGCCCATATTTTTGTTTTATTTTATTTGGCAACAATGGTGGTGGAGAGACGTCTTCCCTTTCCCCTAAAAGAGAGTTAGGTCACTTTTAAGGATGTGTATCATGATCCCTCTCCCAGTTTAGGAAAGGTAGGGCTCATTATTTCAAACTAGCCACTGACTTAGAAGTAAGCACTCACATCTTGCAGGAGAAAGCCCAAACTTTGTTGTTCATGCGCCTGCTGCCCGGGAGGTCCAAAGAACTTCCGATAAATGTAGTTTGCTTCTTTTGTTACTCTCCAGGCAATGAGGATTTAGAAAGCAGGAGGGATGGAAGCCCAAGTGTGAGCTGAAATAGTTAAACCGGAAATTGAAAGTTAAGTAAGACCGGCAGGATTCTCGTAACACTGACCAGGCATTGTGAAGGGAGAGTGTCTGTGGAGGGAGGGGAAATGTGGTGAGACAGAAGAAAAACGGTTTGCTAATCTTCCTCCTTTTCTTTGGCAGGCAGCATCCTGTTTCTTCAGGGCGCTGAGCTTTCAGTGCTACAAATGAGTACCAATGAGCACTTGTGCGTCGATTTTATATTTCTGAACCGACTTGAGCAGCAGCTGGCCCCGGACTTTAAAAGGGTGAGAATTTAGGGTCGTATTTTCCTTATGTATCCTGTGACCAAAAGATTTGTCTCTGTGTATTTTGAGTGGTGTTCATATTTTGTTTTTTAAAGTGATGAGGAAAAATAATTTTAGGGATAGTTCCTTCATCCTAATCAACACATTGGACTCAGGGAATAGGAATAGCTAAATAATTTCTGTAGGAAGCCTGATTCTTGATTGACTAAAAATAAGCCTGGTTATAAATTAGATGTATGACCTTGGGCCAGAGCTCCTGGGTGACCCAAGCCCAAATCAATCAAGGGCAGTGTGGGACAGGGAAGATGGGATTCTCTTTGGAAGGCACCATAGCAGGTTTGGCAGAAATGTTGGTCTCATAGTCAGGAAGACCTAAATTCTAATCCTGCCAAATTGCTTAACTTCTCTCAGCCTCAGTCTCCTCATCTGTAAATGGGGATAACAGGAAGTACGTCACAGGTCTATTGTGAGCACCAAATGAGATAATATATAAATGTTCTTTCCACCAATGAGGAGAATATTATGCAAATGCTCCAGGCTTGAAGTCAGGGTTACATATATGAAGTACTTTGTAAACCTTAAAGCACAATATAAGTAGTAATTATTATTTATTATTATTATGTGGGGGTAGAACACAAAGGAGCTAACACTTCTGGCCTAAAGAACAGGATAGCTAAGCTGAGTAGCTTAGAAAGTTTAAGTACTTCCCAGCCTGGGAATGGGTAGTTGTCTTTACCACACATATAAAATTATCTTTCTAGGGGCAGCTAGGTGGCACAGTGGATAGAGCACTGGCCCTGGATTCAGAAGGACCTGAGTTCAAATCTGGCCTGAGCCACATAACACTTACTAGCTGTGTGACCCTGGGCAAGTCACTTAACCCCATTGGCTAGCCAAAATAAATAAATAAATAAAAATAAAATAAAGTTACCTTTCTCTGGTGAATTATTTCTGAATTTGTACATTTTCTTTTCCCTTGTAAAAATAAGCTCTAGAAAACACACTCTTATGGTTTGGCATGTGTGGCAGGTAGATTAGGAGGGAAAGGGAAAGGGAAAGAGAAGGCTGCTGTCATTAGGCATTTAGTTACAGGAGCAGCAATAGAAGAGGGGAAGATAATCAGGAATCAGAAATGGCAGATCTCTCAACCTGGGGATCCAAGCAGGGTCAGGGACCTAGAAGAAAGAAACATTAAGTGCCTCCTATGTGTCAAGTACTGTGCTAAGCACTTTTAAAAATATCATATTTGATCCTCCCAACACCCCTGGGAAGTAGTTGCTATTATTATCCCCATTTTACAATTGAGGAAACTGAGGCAGGCAGGGGTTAAGTGACTTGCTCAGGGTCACGGAGCTAGTAAGTGTCTGAGACAGGATTTGAACTCGGGTCTTCCTAACACAAGGCCCAATACTCTATTTACTTAGCCACCTAGTCGGCTCTAGGCTCATAATGCCATAGAGGAGTCATTCTAGTTTAATTGGAGCTCAGTGATAAGTGTAATATTTAGAAGGTAATGAAATGTGAAAACCGTGGAGCTAGGTCGCCTGAATTGGTTCCAAAGAAGAGCTAGTATCTCAGGAAGAAGCTGTCCTTCATATATGACTGGAAGGTGAACCCTAGCACTGGACTAATGCTACTGGATAAACATGGCGAATTTAAGAAAGTATAGAAATGGATTCTTCACACCACCAATATGGATTCCCTCCTGCGCCCCCAAACAAAGGTTCCATCGAGCTCTTGCTCTTCTAGGATTCCAGAGAATACAGAATGCTCCTCACTGGTAACATTGTGTGCTATACCCTTTCATGCATCTCTTTACTAAAATCATACTGAAAGGAAAACAGGTTAGGAGACTAGCATTATGTGCTCAATTTCTCCCCATTTTTGTGCTCATTTCTGATTAAATGGGGGTTTGGGAAGGGGAATGCACTGAAGAAAAGAACTCAGGCCAGCACAGATCTCCAGCAATGCATGGCTAGAGATGAACTCACAACACATGAATGTTCCACCCCTGAGCTGGCTGCTCAAAATTTGATTACTTCATCAGTGGTTTGTGACTGTAATTTGATTTCTTTGAAGCAAGCAGCTAATTGCAAAACTGTTTAGTTCTTAATGAGTGAAACCTCCCACCATTCCAGGGGACTAAGGCTCCTCACTTTTATTTTGAGGGAGGTTAAGGGACTTTTCTAATATCCATGACAAGGCCAAAAATAGAAAACAAACCTGATGTCCCCCAATCTGCCCTGGCTACCTTGGATTGCACTGCTTTTTACTGGTGGTGAGCTCTCTAATACTGCTGCTTAGATAAATGGCAATGACCCTCAAGGTCACAGAATTTAGAGTGAGGTCACCTCCTATGACCTGCTAGAGCAGTTAGGAAGGAACTTTCTCATCTAAACCGTGAAGGTGCCTGATTTCCAAGAGGAGTTTGTGTGTGTATTCCCAACCTTACCAAACTCAAGAAATTCCCAGGCCTGGTCCCCCTCTGTAAGAGGTCAGAAGGTATTTTTCTTATCGCCCCAGTAACTCCCCATCTATTATTCCTCTGAGCCTGATGAGGATGGGATCTGGACCCCGAAAAAGAAAAACCTTGGATTTTCCCATGTGGCCAAATCTTTGGCTTCACCTGAAGCCATAATCCCATCAACTGGCCTTTTATTGAGGCTAAACCCAATCTCCCAATTCTCTGTTGCCCTTACCCTAGCCCTCCATTGTCTTACCTCCCTATGGCCCTGGCCATTTCCCACCCTTAATCCTGGCTAGGCTCCATTTTCCCTTGGCCACATGGTCCAGATCCCTGGCCTTCTATTACCTCACAGTCCCTGCAGACTATTGGGCCACTCCTAGATTTCTCCCACAATCTTTCTGTAAGTAAGGTCCATCTTGTCTCCATTAAAGGGCTGAGATTCTTAAAATCTAGCCACTGCTCAGATTTTTATAATCTAGCCTCTAAGAGTCTGCCCAATATGACGGATGTTCTAATAAACCTTGTCTTTGGCTGAAAGAAGGCTTGGGTGGAATTCTTTTGGGCAGGACCCACATGTTATGATTTTGGGGTCCCAGCACCCCTAAACCCCTAAAGCTCAACAGGCCCACGAGGCTATCCATTGCAATAGCTGCATAATGGTTTGAGAGTTAAAGGGGATGGGATGAGTTATTTCATCTCTTGCCTCAAATTCTTCTCTACCTTGTGGCTCTTGGAATTCCATACCCATAAACAACTCCCGCTGCCAATTAAAGACCGAAGCATAGAAAAAATAGATTAGTATCCTTAGAGGACTTGGAGGGGGTGGGTGGGGGGAGAGGGGTGATTTTTTTTTTATCATGGATGGAAAAGATATTTGACTGTAGTGTCTACCCCTTTACGTCTCTTCACTCTCTTTTTCAGTGGCATTTCACCTTCAATAACTTTGTGGTGGAGCCTGGCCAAGAATATGAGATAACAGTGCATCACTTGCCCAAACCAATGCCCATTGGAGATCCAAACCATGAGTCTGCGTTTTTCCAGGTGCCTGGTAAGAGACCTTCCTGTTCAGGTGCACCTTTCCTCACTCTATTTTCAGGCTCTTGAGAAGAACTTGCAAGTTGTTTAGACTTTAGCTCCTCTACTCAGCAAAACCCAAACAATTACTGCTATTGTCAAAGCTGAATCTCCCTAAAGAAGAAAACAAATGTCAAAGATGTTGGATTGTTCTTCAGTGTCTGGCCTGAAGCTTCCTCCCCCTCAGGGCAAGCTGAACCCCTTTCTTAATTATTGAGAAACCAGCATTGGGCAGGAAGGATCTCAGGAGAGTTGTACATATGCAGAAATCCCTCTCTCCTTTTAGGGAATAAAACTAACTCCAGGGAAACCATCACAAAAATCACCCAGTGTCAGCATATCTTGAATAAACTGCCACTTCCTAATCATAATAATGGCAGATGTTTGTCATAGCACTTTAAGGTTTGCAGAAAGGGTCAAATTAGATGATCTCAACCTTCCAGCTCCAGATCCTAAGCATAATCACAGCTCTGTGAGGTAGGGTTTTTTTCCCCCTTTAACATATATTTTCATTTTACTAAATATTTCCCAATTACATGTAAATTTTTTTTAACATTCATTTTTCTAAATTTTGAGTTCCAAGTTCTCTCTCTTCTTCCCATCCCTCCCCCATCTCTTGAGAAGGCAAGCAATAGGATATTAATTATACATGTGAAGTCATGCAAAACATATTTCTATATTAGCCATATTGCAAAAGAAAACATGCATTAAAAAACCCCCAAGAAAAATAAAGAAAGTAAAAAGTATACTTCAGTCTGCACCCAGAGTTTATTGGTTCTCTCAAGGTGAATAGCATTTTTCATCATGGGTCCTTTGGAGTTGTCTTGGATCATTGCCTTGATTAGAGCAGTTAAGTCTTTCCCAGTTGATCATCATTATGATATTACTGTTACTGTGTACAATGGTTTTGCTGTGAGGTAGGTTCTACAGGCACTATTGTCACCACTTTTCAGATGAGGAAACTGAGGCTCAGAGAGGTAAGAGTTCATCACACAACTATTAAATGTCAGAGGCAGGATTTGAACCCCAATCTCTCCTGATTCCATTTTTCTTGCCGCTAAGCCCTGCTGCCTTCCACCTAAGTCCATACATAATATAAAATCATAGGATCACCTAGGCAAAAAATAGCTAAGGACAAATTTCAAACTTACATCTTCTGACTTCAATAATCTTTCCTACCTGGACAATTGCAATTGCTTCATAACTGGCCTCTAATTAACACATGTTTATTGAGTACTTACTCCAGGCAAAACACTGCCCCCACCTCCAATCCACCCTAAATAGATATCTCCTGGAATCATAGAATTATAGAATTTAAGAGCTGGGAGGAACCTAAGAAAACATTTGTCTAGTTCATCTACCTCGTGTCACAGATGGAGGTACTAGAAAAATCTTAAACAAAAATCTACTATAGTGAGTGAAGGAAAGCCTTTATTACACTTCTCACAAAGAAGGGGGCACTCTAGGAGCACATGGGCCCTGGTTCAGTGGTTCAGTGGTTCAGTCAATTTTTAAATAGTAAGATCCATACTCCACTCACCAGGGCTACGACTGGTCTAGTTCATCTGAGTTACACTCTTCCTGGACAGTCCATCAAATGTTCTTCCATGTTCTGTTAACTCCACCCACTTCACGGGTCCCATGATCAAAAATGGTGGCTATCTCCGACCTCAGGGTATGTCAGTTAATATTCAATAAGCTTATTAAGCAAGCACAGTGGAGAAAAGCCTTTGCCCTGTCAAGGCCCCATCCTTGAACCCAATGGGTTGCAACTGGGTTAGCCTCCAGAGCACTTTCTTGAGGAACTAGTTGTTTGCAGAATGTTTGGGGCACTTTCTGATTGGCTGAGAGACTATCCACAAGGTCTTGGAATTTCTTATACTGCTATGGAAGCCTAACCCCCTAAAATCTTTCTTACAGAGGAAACTCAGATCAAGAGAAGAGAAGTGATGGGTCCAGGGTTGTATAAATGACATGTTATTTTGCACACATCAGCCATCACCTTCTCAAAAAACTTTGGTTTCCCATTGCTTGTGCTGCCTAGGTCCAGCGCTGAGCCAGGTACTAGAGATGCCTCTGCCGCCCCCCACACACATACAATTTTGTCCCAGCCTTCTCCAAATTCATCTGTTGCCTCACTGCCTTTTACTCCTGCTGTGCCCCCTTTGTGGAATACTCTCTCTCTTCAAATACCAAAGTTCTCTCTTTACTTCAAGGATTAATTCAGCTCCACCTCCTGCGTAAAGCCTCCCCTGCCCACTCCAGTCATCAGTGAGCTCTCCTTCTTCTGGATTCCTGTACCACTTATTGTTGGCACCATTCATTTTGCACTTAGAGTATACTAAATATTATTGTAATATACCCTTTTTTAAATGTACAACCTGCTTTCTCAACTAGATTTTTAAGTTCCTTTGAGGCTCAGGGACCATGTCTTATGCCTGCCAATGGCCCTATGGTCTGGCATGTAGAAGATGCTCAATGTTTGTTAATAATAATGTTGAGCCCCTCCTTTCTGTAGTACCTCTTCTTCCCACCTTCCCTAGTACTAAAGAGGGAACTGATGTGGTAATTTTTTTTTAATTTATGGAATGAAACAAGTATTTCCATAACAGAATAATGAAAAAAAAAAGATAATTGCATATGAAACTGCAAATCTATTATGTACACATTTTATGTGTGTGTGCGTGTGTGTGTGTGTGTGTGTATAAAAATCTTTTTATGTATATTTCTGTTTATTAGTTCTTTCTCTGGATGCAGGTAGCTTCTTCCTTCATATGTCCTTTGTGGTTAATTTGGGTATTTATCATAGTCAAAATGACTTATTCACTCAAAGTTGTTCTTAAAACAATATTGCTGTTACTGTATACAACATTCTCTTGGTTCTGCTCATTTTTTTGTGCAAGTCTATCCATATTTTCCTAAGATCATCGATCTTATCATTTCTTACAGTACAGCAGTATTCCATCACAATCATATACCATAAATTTTTCAGCCATTCTCCAATTTCTGGGCTTCCCCTCCATTTCCAGTTCTTTGCAGCCTCTTGTAGCATTTCCCAAGCCTAAGAGAAAATATTGAGATGGTATGGAGGCTGAGGAGGAGAAATAAATGAGGAATGAAAAAGTGAGAAGATAACTACCAAAGAATCAAAGGCCTTCCTATTTTACTAACAATAAGTAAAGGCAATCTAGAAGGCAAGAAGCTCTAGAGATGGACTGGAAAGAGTGAGGTCTGAAATGATCTCAAGAAAAATAGCCTTGAATAAAAAGTCTGAAGACTGTGAATAGGCTAGGTTAATCCAAGACCCTCCTGGTTTACCCTGTAAAGAGTCTTCCATGCCCACCAGCTGGAGCTGAAAACACAACTAGTACTTTTACTCTAAGAAGAACTCTTTAATCCCAAAGGATTTTGAGGGATTCATCACTTAACAGACCTCTCTGACACGGAATTCCCAAGCAGTTTTTCCTATAAAGAAATGGGCTGGTACTAGGTCTATATCTCAAAGCAATCAAAAAAAAGGGAAAAGAATCTACATGGACAAAAATATTCATAGCAGCTCTTTTTGTGGTGGCAAAGAATTGGAAATTGATGAAATGTCCATCAATTGGGGAATGGCTGAACAAGTTGTGGTATTTGAATGTAATGGAATACTGTTGTGCTATAAGAAATGATGAGCAGGTGAATTTCAGAAAAACCTGGAAAGACTTAGATGAACTGATGCTGAGTGAAGAGAACATTGTACACAGTAACAACAACACTGTGTGATGATCAACTATGATTGACTTAGCTCTTCTCAGCAATACAGTGATCCAAGACAATTCTAAAAGACTCATGACAGAAAATGCTGTCAATATCCAGAGAGAGACTATGGAGACTGAATGCAGATTGAAACATATTATTTTCACTGTTTGGGGGGTTTTGTGGCTTTTCCCTTTTGTTCTGTTTCTTCTTTCACAACATGACTAATCTAGAAAAATGTTTCCATGATTGCACATGTATAACCTGTATCAGATTGCTTGCCATCTTGGGGAGGGAAGGGAGAAAGGAAGAAAAATTTGGAACTCAAAATCTTATAAAAATGAATGTTATGGGGCAGCTAGGTGGCACAGTGGATAGAGCACTGGCCTAGGATTCAGGAGGACCTGAGTTCAAATGTGACCTCAGACACAGAATACTTACTATCTGTGTGACCCTGGGCAAGTCACTTAACCCCATTGCCTAGCCAAAAAAAAAAATGAATGTTGAAAACTATCTTTACATATAATTGGAAAAAAAATACTATTTACAAAAAAAAAAAGAAATAGGCTAATGCTCCCAAGGTTTGGAGTTTGAAATCATCTGCCTCACAGCCTGATACCTAATAGACTTTCTTTTCTCCCTCTTTTGCAGACTGCAGGGACCCCAAAATGAGAATGACTTCCACCTGTGTGAGCTCAGGTAATTGCTGCTGTTCTCCCGTTTCTGGGGTTGTTGAGGTTTAAATTTGAAGTGGGATGGGAGATGAGGGGGTCAAGTATGCAGCCCCTGAAAAGGTGCCTAATGATCATCCCCTCTGCCTCTTTCCCGATTTGTTTAATTTTTTCTAAGTTTTATTTCTGTCTTTTGTTTTTTACACAAGTCATTTTCTAAAGCAGCCCATCACCCCTTTCAAAACTTTCCCTTGTAACAAAGAAAAAGTTAAACAAAACCCAGAAACATAGCGATTATATCTGATAGGGTGTACCATTCTCCACCCATAATCTCCTACCTCTCCCTGGAGGGAATGGAAGTTCTTTTCATCTGCTGTCTTCCTGGCCCCTTTCTGCACTTCCTGCAGGAAGCCTGTGGGAGCCTGGCATCACAGGAGAAAGGCTAATGAACAACTCCCTGCTGGTGAGTTTTAACCTGTGGAATGAATCAACCACTTATAAGATCCTCGTGAATGGTTTTTCAAACACAGAGACCGGCAGCTGTTATGAAGACCTTCGGTTCATTACCCAGGTAACTTCCCCTTTGAGACCAGCCCCAAACCAGCTACACCCTGATGCCTTCCTCAGTCAGTCCCAGTGCAAAGTGTACTGGACCTGGTTTGGAGTATTAGCTCTGCCTCTTGTGATTAATGTTGAAATACTCCTTTAAGGTTTACAAAATGCTTTAATGCATTATTTAATTTGATCTTCACAACAACCCTATGAGGCTAGTATTATTATCCCCATTTTACAGATAAGGAAACAAAGAAGTTAACCAAGTTAGTGCAAGGTCATATAGTTAATAAATGCCTGAAGTAGGATTTGAACCCAGGTTTGCTGGCTTACAAATTCATTTCACTACCTCTCTCTAGCTTTTTTTTGGCTAGGCAATGGGGTTAAGTGACTTGTCTAGGGTCACACAGCTAGTAAATGTTATGTGTCTGAGGCCAGATTTGGACTCAGGTCCTCCTGAATCTTGGCCCGGTGTGCTATCCACTGCGCCACCTAGCTGCTTCTCAACATTCATTTTTATAAGATTTTGAGTTACAAATTTTTCTCCCTCTCTCCCTTCCCTTCCCAAGATGGCAAGCAATCTGATACAGGTTATACATGTGCAATCATGGAAACGTATTTCCAAATTAGTCATGTTGTGAAGGAAGAAACAGAACAAAAGGGAAAAGGGATTCCTCAGGGATTCCTCCTGAATCCAAGGCCAGTGCTTTATCCACTGCCCCTACTACCTCTCTTATTAACTCTGTGACTTTGGAGAAATCATTCCATCCCACTAAAGCTAATTTCCCTTATCCCTAAAATAAATAACCTGTCATCACATCCCCTGCACCGAAACTTCCACTGATAACTGTCTTTTCCTTTTTTTCCTCCCCTATTCCCTTCCCTACCCTACCCTACCTTTTCTCTCCATTGCCTTCTCTTCTTCCCTTCTATTCCCAGCCTACACAAGAAGATTTCCACCATCGGATAAATGTCACATTCCCCTTGCAAAATGTGAATACCTGCTGCCAGTACAGTGTACAGGTGAGACCCTGAGTCCAGGGAATGGCCCTGTCAAAGATAGCAGTGAATGGGTTGTACCTTCCTGCAATGGGGGTCAGGAAGTTAGACTGGCCGAAGAGAACTCTGAGAATGTAGGATTGTTCTCTCTCCAAAGAGACAAGGTAGATTCTCTGCACGTAAGGTGCTCTAAAATTTTCTCAGTGCTCTTTCTCTACCCTATTTGCTTCCATCCCAAAGTAATCTACCACATGGGCTTTAGTTGATTTGGGGTAGAAAATCAGGTGTAGAAATCCTCTAGACTTGAGAAGACGAGCCTTTGATCCTCTTCTGTTTGCTAGGAGATCCTGATAGAATAGTTACTTGGAAACCCTGTAGTACATTTCGTAGCAACAAGACTTTCCATGCTAAATTCAACAGATAATATTGGTTCAGTCTGTTCAAGTCAAATCACATAGCTGTTATTTCCCTAAGTGGCAGAAGGGCACACTTGCATGTGCAATCACCTACATTTTTTTGTGTTGTTTTTGCTTACCCATTTTGGGACTTTCTATAATTTTTGGAGGGAGGTTGCTTGTGTTGTCTTTAAGCTGTTCTTGTCCACATATTTGACTGTTTGTGTGGGTTGGACATTAAAATTTATGGTATGCATTTTTTTTTCTAAACTAAAAGAAACTCTCTTGTAGCCAATATTCTGCTCAGACATTCCTTGAAGAGTCTCTTGTTTGAGCAAGACCAACAGGAGACAGTCAGTCAACTAGCATTTACTAAGTGTCTAGGTTACACCGGGTACCCAAGGCTGACTTTCTTCTCTCTTGTTTCTCTGTTACCCCCAGATCCAGCCATTCTTTCAGAGTTGTCATAATGACTGCCTTAGACATACACTGTCCATCCCTTGCCCAGTGCTACCATCACCAACACCCAGTAAGATGGGTCCCTTCCTAACTGAGCCATTGCTGAGGGGCGTGGGGAGGGATTGGAAAGGGACGAGAGTTTGGGCAGATTGCCAGTCTGTATTCTGGATAGCTTATAACTTTTTTTTATCCTTTTGCCCTTTCTTTTTTCACTTTGCAGCCTGCCCTCCAGGTAAGCGAGCCCAAGTCTTGTCCTAGAGCTTTGCACAGGGACACAAATGTATCATGTGAGTAGCCACCTTTTGAGACTGAGACAGTAGAGGAACTAGGTGGCCCTAAAAGTTATTTTAAAAACACTACCACCTTCCCTGCTCCATGGCCTGCTGGGGTGCCCATTCCTCTTTCTGTGTCAGCTTTCTCACTTGTAAAACTCAATCCAATAAGCATTTATTAAGGGCCTCCTGTATATGGAAAGCGCCATAAAAGTTTGGATGTGACACTGTAGGTCCTTGCCCCCTTATGAAGCATACAGTGTAATGTAATAAAAAGCCCCCCTTTTTTTTTTACATTTGAAGGTTTTATAAAGCACATTCATCACAACTCTGATATGATACAATTATTATCACTCCCATTTTAGAGATAGGGAAACTGAGGTTATGAAAGGTGACATGGTCATAGAAATAATAAATACTAAAGATGGTACCAGAAGCCAGATCTCCTGACCTCAGAGTTCAGTGCTCTTTCAACTGTATCAAACTTACTCTTGCAAAATGTTGGAATGTTGAGTTATTAGCATCTGTACACACAGGTATGGATCATAAACATTGATTGATTGATCCAGGGAGGATAGACTCTGAAGGACCAGGAAGAAGGGGCACCAGGGTTATTAGATAAAGTCCTTCCTTCTATCTCTCACTGGTCTTCTTTTGCCATAGATGATGTGCCACTGTGGGCTTACTGGTTTATCACTGGCATCTGTATTCTGTTGGTGGGCTCTGTCATACTCCTGGCCATTTGCATGACTCAAAGGAAGCCTGGTAAGGAGCAAAGTAGCTGAGGCATTGAAATGTCCTTAGCTTTTAGTTTTCTGTTTCATTTCATCTGTTGCTGTCCCCTTTTTCCTTCTTCCATGGCTAAGCACCCTATGTGAGGCTGAGGCCAGGTCACCCTTCACCAGAGCCCTTCACTCCCAGATCAGATAGAGGCCTCCTCTCCCTCTCTGTCTCCTCCCCATGTGCATTGACCACAGATGAATTCCCAACAAGTCCTTACTAGGATGGAGTTCCCCTAGAGTAAAAGGTCAGTTAGTCACAAATGAAATGCTGTAGTTAATAATCACTGTAATTAAAACTGAGGATGAATATTTGAGATTCTCACAGTGTTCCTTGGCTAGCAGTGCATATAATCTAAGCAAATTAAATACTGGGCCTGAAGTTCAGAAGGATTTGATTCCAAGTTTCCTGACCAGTCCCCTTCTTCTATGTCATCTAAACACATCATTTTACTTTTGTAGGCCAGTTTCCCTTACCCTCCCCCCCCAAAAAAGGGCAGGAAATTATTAGAATAAGAGGATAATTATTGAATAATAGAGTTAAGTCTTGATTATCTAGTTAGGATGACATCCTAATCCTTTAGTTCTCAATTTCTTTTTTATTATAAGGATTTTGACCATTTCCTCAGGAGTGAATAGGTGATGGGACAGGAAACACTATTCTGATGCTTTTGCCCAGTGTGAACAGCCCTGGAGGGGAAAAAAGGCTACAAAGATAGAGATTGAAATGGATGTCTTAAATGTTTGCTTTGGTTTTTTCACGGACATGGGTAATTCCATGTCCTCTATTGGCAGACATGCCTATTAGTAAGGGATGCTTTTTTTTTTTTAAGCATTGCAATCACTGTGGTTTAGGATTGCTTAAATAAGACTATTTCCCTTCCTCTTCTCAAAAAAATATAAGGAGGAAATATCAATAAAGAACTCAGCAAAGACTGCTTATAAACGTTTATCTGTGCAAGGTTCAAGCTTTTCGCACTGATGCTTTTGGGGAAGATACACTCCCTGAAGTGCACATTCTAATAATGTGTGGAATAGGAAGAGTATATCTACAAGGGAAATTAGGTTGAATCTGGACTTGGTCCCAGATTAGGGATCAACATTCATTTATTTCATTGTTCTAGGCCAAAGTCAGGCTCCCTAGGTGGCCTCTGCCACACCTCTTTCCCCAAGAATTGTGTAAAGCTTCCCTGTAGTAACCAGTGATACGTTCCTCTCTTAGCTTTTCCACCAGTTGGGACTAGGGAGAGGGAGGGGAAGGAGTGAGTACAGGAACTCTCCCATCCCTGTTTTTGCCATACTGTCTCCCCTCTTCCCTCCTAAGAGAGTAGTTGTAACATAAGGCAACTCAATCCTTTGTTACTCTAATTTATTGTTTCATTTTAGAGTTTTCCTCTGATAAACCTGAAAATGACACCAAATACCCTGGCAAGTACTCTTTTTTTGTTGTTGTTTGTTTGATTGACTGGTTTTTGGTCTTTGTTTTGGATTGGGTTGTTGGGGTTTTTTTTTTTCTTTGGGAGGGTAGATTTTTTTCTTAAGAGAACAGCAATAAGAAGGCTAATTCTTGTTATGCTTTGGGTGTAACAGCCAATCCCCTATCTCAGACCATTCTAAAATCACTTGAAGGGAAGTCTCACAAAGGACCCATTCCCATTCCTTCCTTGTATCCACAATGGGATTTCCAAAACAGTGGCTGTCCTAGGCAGCCCCAAACATCAAGGTAGAGAAAGAATCATCATAGAGAAAAAAGCAAGGTGAAAGGATTGTATTTTCACAGAATTCAAGTTGGAAGAATTTAATTTGATTCAAATCAACATTTATCAAATATTTATTACATGGGAGGCACTGTGCTATGTATTGAAGATACAAAGACATAAACAAAACAATCCCTTTTCTGCCCTTAAGGAGTTATTTTACTGACAGGATACCACATGTATACAAACAAACATAATACAAGGTAATTTAAGAGAAGAAAGAGCAGAAATAGTACCAGTAATGAAAGAAGGCTTCAGAAAGGAAATGCTTCCTAAGCTGGGCCTTGAGGCAAGGTGAGGATTCAGAGAGGTTGGGGTATAATCAGAGCATGTGGAATCACCTATATGAACCCTGAGAGGCAAGAGATGGAACATTTGGTTCAGGGAACAACTATTGGTCTCATTTAACTACAACACAGATTGTGTAAAGGGGAATAATATGAAATAAGGCTTAAAAGATAAGATGGAGCCAGATTGTGGAGAGCTTTGATCACCATATTGAGGAACTTTTTTTTTTGTATCCCAAAGAATATCCCAGGCCCACCAAACATTTTTGAGTAAAGGAGTGACTGTGGCCAGACCTGTGCCTTAGGAAGATTATTTTGGCAGCAGTATAAAGGATAGATTGGAAGGGCAGAGAGATTAAAGGCAGGGAGAATAAGTAAGAGGGTATAATACTTGTCTAGGACAAATCTTAAAAGCCATTTGGTTCAACCCATACATAAACAGGAATTCCCTCTATAACATTCCCAACAAACTTCTCTTTGAAGTTCTCTAGAAATCTAGAACTTACTACCTCTAGGGACTGCCTACTTTTGTACATCTCTAATTTTCTTCTCTATAACTTCAAAATCTACCTCTTTGAAGTCTTTCAAGAGAAGTACCTCTGCATACTGAATATGTTCCAGAGCCTTCCCTCTGATTCTTTTTAAAATTATGATTGTGATGAAGTATAATGTTAAGGGAGTATGGTGAGTACTGAAATTAAAGAAGAGAGGCGGCAGTTTCCTGGAAAAGACAAGCATGTTTGATTTTTTTTTAAGTTTTAGTGCATTTTTACCCTAAAATGTCTTTATTCTGACTACAGAAATAGGCAAAGACCTCTGTGCTTAGGCCAAGGACTCCTCCAGTATAAATGAGCTCCCTTGGTGCTGCACAGTACAAAGCCTTGAGCATTTGGCAGTCTCAACAGGCTCATGAGTTTGGGCTCCATATTTCAGGCAGTGGCACCAGAATTGGAAAGGATACCAATTTAAACTATTGGGGTGGGGGGACTATTCTTATTTCTTTCAGATATTCCACCCCTGGACAACCAGATTCCTCCACCCTTAAAGCCCCGGAAAGTCTGGATCATTTACTCAGCTGATCACCCCCTCTATGTGGATGTGGTGGTCAAGTTTGCCCAGTTCCTCATCACTGTCTGTGGTACTGAAGTGGCCCTGGACCTGCTAGAGGAGAAGTTGATCTCAGAGGTGGGGGTCATGGCTTGGGTGAGTCGACAGAAGCAAGAAATGGAGGAGAGCAATTCCAAGATCCTCATCCTGTGTTCCCGAGGCACCAGAGCTAAGTGGCAGGCAATCCTTGGTTGGGAAGAGCCTGCTGTTCAGCTCCGGTATGACAGATGGAAACCTGCCGGGGACCTATTCACAGCTGCCATGAATGTGATCCTCCCAGACTTCAAGAAGCCAGCCTGCTTTGGCATGTACGTGGTCTGCTACTTTGACGGCATCAGTGACGAGGCTGATATCCCTGACCTATTCAACATCACCTCTAAATACCCACTGATGGAGAAGTTCGAGGAGGTTTATTTCCGTATCCAGGAACTAGAGATGTTTGAGCCAGGTCGAGTGCACCGGGTTAGGGAGATCACTGCTGAAAACTATCTCCAAAGCCCCAGTGGCTGGCAGCTCAAGGAAGCAGTACAGAGATTCCAGGAATTTCAGGTCAAATGCCCCAACTGGTTCGAACAAGAGAATCTCTGTTTAGAAGATGAAGACAACTTGTCGTTGCTGAGTGGAGAGATGATTGAAGAGTCACCATTACCACCAGGAGGGAGGATAATGAAACAGGTGCCTCTGGTGCAGGAGCCTTCTCCTGGGGACCATTTGATGGTGGACCTCGTCATTAATGAGGAAGAAGGGGTCTCTAGACTAGACACTCCGTTTCTGCCCCAAGGGGCTACCCTCACCCACCAAACAGTAATCCCCATAGAAGAGGCCCAACTGACTTCTGTAGTGGAGCCCTTACACAGGAATGGTGATAGTAAAGCCAGGCGACAGGCAGTGGTAGGTGAAGATGACATGGAATGTGTCCCACTGATGGAGACCAGTGCTCTCCATCGAAATAGTGTATTCTGCCTCCCCATGGACTCTGAAGCTTCCCCTCTCTCCAGTACTCCAGTTCCTTCCCCCAACTGCCTCCCAGCTCCAGTGAGAGAACAGCTAGAGGGCTTAATGTACTCCCTCTTCCAGCAGAGTCTAAGCAACCCAGGTGAAGAAGAATGGGAAAGACAGCAACTGGTCTTCCATGATCCTTATACACCCTATGAGGAAGAGCAGAGGCAGTCAGTGGAGTCTGATCAGGGCTACATCTCCAGGAGCTCCCCACAGCCTCCTGATGGGTTTATGGAAAAGGAAGAGGACGAGGACGAGGAGGAGGAAGAAAAGGAAGAGGAGGATGCAGAGATATCTACAGAGTTTCTCTCTCCCAGTGTTTTGGAGAATCTGAAGAGCCTTCAACAGCAGCTGTTATTCCAGGAGATACAACAGAGCTCTAACTGGGGCTGTCTAGATGGAAGGAGATTATCTACAGAACTGCAGCCATCCTATTAAGTGTGTTATAGGTCTGAGTCATCAAAGACAGTGAGAAAGAGAATGCATACCTATAATTCTATCTTGATTCTAATGATGAGAATCTCAGGAATAAACTTTCCTCTCTTTTAAATGTAAGTGTATTCCTCCTAAAACTACCCATGTAAACAAGTGTAACTTTCCCAGTGACTTGGCACTGAAGTATCAATTAATTCCCAGTGATGAGCTATTGCTGCCTATATTGGGGTAGGGGGAATATTGATAGGGCACAGAAAAAAAAAGATATAAAATACCAAAAGGAGAGGAGTCTAAAACCCTCAGTTCTGTTTCTGGTGTTAATGTAAGCATAAAACAACGAGGTGATGGGAGAGGGTTCTCTTCTTTTCTGAGTTGCAATAAGAAGTTTTTCAGATAGTCACTGGGATGGATCCCTAGAGTTGCAGCTCCCTGAGATAAACTGAGATCTGGACTCTCATAGTGTCCCACTTAAAGACTTAAAAGTCCCACAGCTGAAGAACTACAGGTATGAGAGGCTAAGGTGTGTTTGACAGTGTAAAACCACAGACTAATGTTAACTTAATGAGGAAAACCTTCTGGGGAAAAGTCATCACACAGACTTAAGTGTTCAATGTGTATTTGATTTTGCCTTCCTTTCAAACCAGAATGGCACTTTGAGGCTCCATTCTTGCACTGACCCCTTGGAATGGACTGGAATACTCAGAGGACAGTAAAGCTGCAAGGTACCATAAAGATCATCTATTCTGCCTTTTTTTTTTTGGCTAGGCAGTTGGGGTTAAGTGACTTGCCCAGGGTCACACAGCTAGTACATGTTTTAGAGATATGGAAATTGAGACCCAGATTGCTGAACTACTACTATTACTACTACTACTACTGCCCACTTTTACTCCCCCCATGAAGGTTGGGTCACCATAGGGTGACTGGTACCTTTGATTATAGGGTTTGTATTCCTAATACTATAGCTCAAGCACCCCACCAATGTGTTTCCCATTAACAGTCATCCAGTTGACCAAATTAATTAGCTTTTTGAAGCAATGTTTACTAATGTGGTATGATAAAATAGTAGATACAAACATTTCTCCCATAAACCTGAGTTATACTTTTTCACAAGTACACAGGAAGGGTGGGGTCACTCTTATAGAGCACAATGGTGGTGAAACACATGAGTGGGATACATATGTGGCAAGGGCAATTCACACTTGCTGGTATGAAGTTCCTCCCTCGTCTCAGTTTTGTTCCACTCAATTGTGTAGCAAGAAGAAGAGCAAGGTAAAATCTAGATGTAACAGCCCAAGTTTTATAGCTTCACCTTGGCCACATCACTCTTCACCTGGAGCTATGTCTGTAGCTTCTTTTTGGCTTGTTGCCAAAAATCTCTCAGCCTGCCAAAATTTCCATGCAATTTTCCCCAGCCTCCTCAAGAAGCATGTATTGTCATATGTTTCTATGCTGATATCATTTGTCAGGCTTTTCCATTGCCAGAACCATAGTGATGATATGCTCTTGGGCTGGAAGCATAATTGTGTCCTGTTTATTTCTTGTTCTCCTTTATTTTGGGCCATTTCTTTATTTAACACCACCACCACCACCCACAGGGCTTTCCATCTAAATGTCAAGCAATACTGAAAATTCTTTCAGATATAATTTTTCCTCAATCCACAGCACTAGCTAAGAGTGAAGAGTGCTACCGATTTTTCTCTCAGAGTTCTTTGACCCAGGACATCCCATAGCCTCTGCCCTTGGTCAAAGTCATCAAAGTTTTATGAGTCTTTTTGTATACTTGTACATTTACTTGTGTATTATTTTGAATGATGGCAAATAAACACCTTAATACTCAAACTGACTCTATGATTTATCCCCAGAATGATGTCTGCTTCTCTCAGGACACATTCCTTCCCAGGAATGAATTTCATTTCTCCAGTTAACTTCTCTTGGCAGGGAGCCTTGGGCCTAGGTCTTGGCAAGAACATTATTTTAAAATGTTTTATTTTATTCCCAGTTATGTGTAATTTTTAACATTTGGGTTTTTTTTAGTTCCCAATTTTCTCTCTCCCTCTCTCACAACCCCGAGACAGTAAGCAAGTTGATATATATATATATATATATATATATATAAACAAGAATATTTATTAAAAGTGAACATAATCTAGCCATACCAAATCTCAAACTACATTATAAAGCAATAATCATTGAAAATAATCTGATAGTGGCTAAGAAATAGAGTGGTGGATCAGTGGAATAGATTAGGTACACAATACACAGCAGTAAACAACCATAGTAGTCTAGTGTTTGATAAACCTAAAGAGTCAAGCTTTTGAGACAACTCACTATTTGAAAAAAACTGGAAAACAGTATGGCAGAAACTATGTGTAGACCAACATTTTACATTGTATACCAAGATAAGGTCAAAATGAGTACATGATTTAGACATAAAGGATAATACCCTAAACAAATTAGGAAAGTAAGGAATAGTTTACCTGTCAGATCTATGGAGAAAGGAAGAATTAATGATCACACATTTGACAGAGAGCATTATGAGATACAAAATAGATAATTTCTATTATATTAAATTAGCAAGTTTTTGTAAAAACAAAATCAATGCAACCAAGATTAGAAGGAAAGCAGAAAGCTGGGAAACAATTTTTACAGTATCTCTGATAAAGGCCTCATTTCTCAAATATATAGAGAACTGAGTCAAATTTACAAGGATACAAATCATTTACCAACTGATAAATGGTCAAAGTATTTGCACAGGCAGTTTTCCAATGAAGAAATCAAAGCTATCTATAGTCATATAAAAAATGCTCTAAACCACTATTAATTGGAGAAATGCAAATTAAGACAACTGAGGTACCACCTTACACCTATCAGATTGGCTAATATTACAAAAAAGGAAAATAAATGTTGAAGGGGATGTGGGAAATTTGGGACGCTAATGCACTGTTGGTGGAGTTGTGAATTGATCTGACTATTCGGGAGAGCAATTTGGAACTATACCCAGAGGGCAATCAAACTATATAACCTTTGATTCATCAACACCACTATTAGATCTGCATCCCAAAGAGATTTTTCAAAAGGGGATAGGGTGGGGGAAGACCTATTTGTATGAAAATATAGCACTTCTTTTTTGTGGTGGAAAAGAATTAGAAATTGAGGGGGTGTCCATCAATTGGGGAATAGCTGAATAAATTGTGGTACATGATTGTAATGGAATACTATTGTGCTTTAAGAAATGATGAGCTGGATGATTTCAGAAAAACCTGGAAAGATTTACATGAACTGACGTAAAGTGAAGTGAACAGAACAATGAGAACATTGTAACAAGCTGTTACTTGTACAAACTAGTACAATAACAGCAATATTGTACAATGGTCAACTGAATGACTTAGCTATTCTCAGCAACACAATGATCCAAGACAATTCCAAAGGATGCATGATGAAAAATGCTATCCACATCCAGAGAAAGAACTGATGGAGTCTGAATGCAGATCAAAACATATTATTTTAAACTTCATTCTTTTTTTTTTTTGGTCTGTGTCTTCTTTCACAACATGACTAATATGGAAATATGTTTTTTCAAGATTGCACCTGTATAACATATCAAATTGCTTAAGGGAGGGGGGAAAAGTAGGGAAGAGAGAATTTGGAACTCAAAATATAAAAAAGAATGTTAAAAATTGTTTTACATGTAATGAGGAAAATATATATATACTTAAAGTGAGCATGACATTGTCATCATCAAAGAGCATTCGTTGAATATGTTCAGGGATTCAAGGTGGAGGCAAATTCTCCTGGTTCTATTTCTTGTCATGCGCTCACAAAGCTTTCCTAGCCATTTTTCCCCCTTTTAAACAAAATGACATTGGGATATTTGCATTACATAGTAGAGGTAACATATTTGCTCCCAAACCCAAATTTTCAATCCTATTTTTAGTATGTTAGCCAAAAGTGTTTTGAGTACTTTGTTAAAGGAGGATGATTAAATAAAAATTTTTAAAAAGAAAAAAAAATTTCCAGCAGATGGCTCCACCCACAACCACTCCAGAAAAAAACTAAATTCACACCACATCAAATAACAGTCAAGAAATCCAGTGAGAAACTATGGCGAATTCTTCCTGTGCCATTCAAACATCAGCTGGAGCTTGTAGTGGCCTTTTAATATTTGAGCAATCAGAAAGCCATATCAGTGTCTTCTGAGTCAATCACTGCTGAAGGGAAGTTTCAGTACATTTCAAGGAAAAGAAGTAGCTCAGTCCACATGGTCCAAGAGGCTGGTAGATATCTCCTGCCATATCTAAGGTAGGGTGGGAGGAGGAACCTTAATATTGGGTAGAGATTCCTATTTTAACATTTTTTCTTATTAGCTAAGTGCAAAGCTCAGTGGTTTTCAAGCGTTGTCAAGCACTTTCTAAGCTTTAGTGAGCTCACCATAATTCTTGGTGCTTCACCCTGTGAAATTCCATCATCATCAGTTCATTCCTTTGGTTCAAGCAGTGCATTCCACAAGCCTCCCATTATAAATTATAAATACACTTGAGTGAAGAGGTTGCATTAAGCTATTATTCACCAGTAAGATCGAAGTGTAAATTTATTTTTCAGAACTTCTGGCTAGAAGGACTAAGACAATGTGAGAGTAGAGGGTGCTTGAGGATGAAGGTAAAAGGGGTAGGGGTGAATACTGGAAATTGGTACTGATCAGCGAGGAGGTCATCTCCACAAAATTCACAATTTTGCCCATAGCACAGTCCTAATCTATCCTACCCTGGCTCTCCTTTTCATTATTAGAGTCTTCCCCAAAAGGACTGGCCTAGAAGGGAAAGCAAATAAAATTAAAATCAGTCCCTGCTTTTTGACACTTGTCTTATGAGTTGATTAGGACAGAGCATTAAAACCAATAGCTTATCAAACTGTAGCTTTCTTTCTCTGGTCCTTACTGAATAATACTAGTTGACAGTCATCTAATAATTTAAAGGAGCAGTGTTTAAATTGGTGTAGGTGTCTCAATTCTAAAAGTGCTGGAATTTGGTTTTGCTGAAAACCTAAAAAGACTGCCTGCTAGCCATTGTACCCAAAAAATAAGGAGGTGCCTCCTGCCTTATATACATTAAACAGAGGATATTCAGCAAATTTTTTCTATTGAACTTTACTTATTTATTTTTAGGCAACTGGGGTTAAGTAACTTGCCCAGGGTCACACAGCTAGTAAGTGTCGAGGGTTTGGCCTGAACTCAAATTTGAACTCACGTTCTCATGACTTCAGGGCTGTGCTCTGTCCATTGCGCCACCTAGCTGTCCCTCTATTGAACTTTGTATAAATTGCTGACTTAACAGTGTTACCATGGTTTGCCAGTCATGGGGCTAATCAGTGAAGAAACTATCCCAAGCAGCAATCAGAGTACATACTTTAACTTTTACAAAGAAGTTTGTGATAAAAGTTCAACTTTGGGCTAACCAATGCATGCAGGACTAAGAGGGATATTCTAAAAATAAATTAATTTAATTTAAAAAAAAAAACTTAAGGAGGATTCACACTTTCTACCACTGGTAAAAACTTCTGATTAAGGAAGAGTAGAGAAGGGTGGAGCACACAAATTCTTTTTCTCTGGTCCACTCTCAGACTCTCTTGTTAGCTGAGCTTAGAAAGAAGAGACATTCCAAGTCTATTATGATGGTGAAGAAATGTCTTTTGTGTTGAAGTCTCTTAGTCATTTAGTAAATAATCTCTTAGTTATTTTAGTAAATAAAGACTTCTGTCTGTCCAGATCTCAAAGCCAAAACCTAGGCATCATTGCTTGCCTGGTGACAGACTGTCCTAATTGCAGGCAAAATATCTTAGATTTGTTTACTTGCAGGGGTTAGCCTTGAAAATTCAAATGCATAAAGCAAAGATAGCTATCACAGTGACTTTTGAGAATTTCATGTGAGAACAAGAACAGGAAAGATCTTAAAACAAGCCACACTGTAAGCATGTCACAAGTCTCAAGGTTTTATTTTCAGAACAGAATCTAATTTTATTTTTAAAAGAAAAAAATAAATTTGTGATGGATGCTAGTGAAGTTGCCACTTTCCTATATCTTGCAGGCCCCAGCTGCCATCACTCTTTCATGATCACACTTGGTAACAGAGGAAGACTAGAGCTGGAAGGGAGCTTAGAGCTTATGTAATCTAACCCCCTCATTTTACAAATGAGGAAACTGAAGCCCAGAGATGAAGTGACTTTGCCCAAGGTCACACTGTTAGCTAGGTGATAGAGCCGATACCAGAACTCATGTCTCCTGGGCTTTTTCCTCTCCATCTTGCTGCTCAATAAGAGGGGAGGGGAGGAAAAGGGAGGAAAGGATATAGCCTAGATAAAGATTCCCTGGGACCTTTCTGGACTCTGATCTGCTCTCCTATTGTTGTTGAGTCTTTTTCAGTGGTGTCTGACTCTTCATGACCTATTTGGGTTTTCTTGGCAAAGATGCTAGAGTGGTTTGTCATTTCCTTCTACAGCTCATTTTTACAGATGAGAAAACCGAGGCAAACAGGGTTAAGTGACTTTCCTAGGCGTCACACAGCTAATAAGTGTCTGAGGCCAGATTTCTGCTCAGAAAGATGAGTCTTAATGACTCTGTACCCAATGTTCTATCCAATGAGCCACCTCGCTGCCCTGATCTGCTCTCTTAAGATCCCTTATATGTACTTGCATCTTTCTCCTCAAGCTATCTCATAACCCTTTCACAGCCAGATGCCTGAAAAAAGCTGCCTTCATTTGTTGCCTATACTTTCTCACCTCCCACTCACATCTCATCCCCTTGCAATCTGGTTTCCATCTCCCCACTAGTCAAATGAAACTGCTCTTTCC